GAGGCCTCAGCACAGTGACCCCAGCTACGAGGCCTCAGCACAGTGACCCCAGCTACGAGGCTCTCTGATGCCCGGGTTGCCCCACTTCCTTTGTTGGCTTATCTTCCTGCAACATGAACTGATGCTTCGGGGGTCTAAGATGCAGGCCCAACCGTGCCCACTTCTCATTCCATAATATATTCATAGTGAACACATTTCCTTGGGTGACAGATGACTTCCAAAAATAAACACCCATAGACTAGCCAATAAATACTCCCTAGACAAATATACTGCCATCTGAAAAAAAAAGTATGTCAGAGATCCATTTCACACATCATGCCAAAATAAATTCTTAATGCTCTGTGCCTCAAAAATATATGGGGTGGAGGGGTGCGTATTACTGGTACAAGAAAATATATATTTAAAAAAATCTCAGTGGAAAATGCCTCTCTAAACAGAATATAAAATAGTCATAAAAGAAAAAATGAAAGCAAGACAATACAAAATTAAAATTTCCACATAGCAATAAGTAACATACAAAATAAAAGCACAACTAGGGGGGAAAAATCTCAAATAACAAAAAGGATTTTTTTTTATATAAAGAAGGGTCTCCAAAAACAAAAACTAGAGAAACACACAATTCTCTGCCACTTTCGAGCACAAACACAAAAGGGTTCTTAGATGTCTGAAAGGATCTCTGACATAAGAGTACTGAAAAATAAAGCTAAAATGCAATACAATTTACAATTGTCAGACTGGCAAAGACAGGAAAGAATCCTTGATAATATTCTGTTAAGCAGAGTGGGTAAGTGGGCTCTGCTAAAAATTGTCATTTGAGAATGTCAGTGGTGGGTCCACTTTGGAAATACAGATCACATATTTACAGTTAAAAATGCACATATCCAGGCCCTCCCTGGTGGCGCAGCGGGTTAAAGCACAGCACAAAGAAGCTTAAGCCACTTCCGCATGAGTTCGATCCCCGCCTGCCTCGGAGGTGACCACATGGCGCGGCAGACCTCTCCTGACCCGCCCGCTGCTCCCCTCAACAGTGTACTTCGTCAATCTGCCTGTTCTGCTCCCTGAAGCCTCTCACCGCCCCTGAGCCTCTGGCCTGTACCCCAGTTCTATATGCACAAATAAATAAATCTTAAAAATAAAAAAATCTTAAAAAAAAAAATTGCACATATCTGGCATTCCCTGGTGGCGCAGCGGGTTAAAGCACAGTACTGAGAAGCAAAGCCACCTCCGCATGAGTTCAATCCTCGGAATCCTCTCACTGCCCCTGCACCTCTGACCCGTACCCCAGATCTGTATGAATAAATAAATCTTTTTTTAAAAAATGCACATACCCTTAGACTAGTAATCCCATTTCTAGGAATTTAAGCTATAGAAATTTTTTCATTTAATTATAAAGGCTGTAAACATTTTCTAATAGAGACTACAGAATATACTTCCTATGAGTGTTTCTTGAAGAAATTACTATATAGAAAAAAAAATGGCAAGAAACCCAGAAAATGCTGTATCACGTAAACAAGAACAACACAATGAATGCAAATATTAAAAACAAAATAGAAATACTATAACAAAGGGAAAAGAGAAGAAAGGAGAGACGATGGAAATACATTCATTTTCTCATATTTTACAAACTAGGTGAAAAGAAATCTGCTAAATCAAGTGATAAAAAGTATCTAGGCCCTCTCTGGTGGCGCAGTGAGTTAAAGCACAACACTAAGAAAGCTCAAGCCACTTCAGCATGAGTTCGATCCCCACCCTGGGGGTGACCCATATAGAGCAAAGGACCTCTCCTGACCCACCCGCTGCTCCCCTCAGCAGTGTACTTCAGTCGATCTGCCTGTTCTGCTCCCCACTCTGTCTCTGATGGATCCTCTCACCGCTCCTGCACCTATGGCTTGTATCCCAGCTCTGTATGCACAAATAAATAATTTTTTGAAAAGAAAAAGCATTTAAAGATACAAAACTAGTGATGACGACAATTTTTAAGACTTCCAAATTATTAGAAAGAAAATACATACACCCCCAAAGAGAAACACACACATACACACAAAAAAACCTTTAGATGCCTTTGAAATATTCATAACAAAAACAAGCTAAAGAAAAATGCTTGCGGGCCCTCCCAGGTGGCGCAACAGGTTATAGCACGGCACTATGCGGTGATCTGCAGCGACTGCAGCATGTGTGAAATGATACAGACACAGTCATTCACACAGTGTTGCCTGTAACAGCACAAGACTGAAAGCAGCCCAAGCAGGAGGCCTGGTTAAGTCAGTCACAGTGCTGGAATGCCATGCAGCAATGAAAGAACAAAAAAGTTCTTTGCATTCTCATGTAGAAAGAGCTCCAAGATATACTTAGTAGAAAAAACTAAAAGGTATAAGCAGCAGCATATATGGTTTCTTTTGTATGCATAAAGGCACTCGAAGATTCCCCTCAGAAATCAGTTTTCCTTGTGTAGGTTGAGAGCGAAGGATTAGGTAGAGAAGGGACACAGAGGTGTGGCTCCCGAAATAGATATTGGCTTTTTCTAATATATAAATATACAACCTATAAATATCACATTTTTAAATATGAGGTAAAAAAGGTGGAAAAGCATACTGTTTAGTCTCCATGTATTTGAAGTTTTCCCGATTTTCTTTCTTCAGTTGGCTTCTAGTTTGATACGTGATTTTGTAAGAGGAACAGTAAGGAGCAGCCGCCAAGTCAGTGGGTCACGCTCATGGCCAGTGCGGTGATAGGTGGAGTCCTTCAACTCTATCCCTCGAGCGGGAGTTGGTGGGTACAGAGGCGGAGCTGGGTTTTAGCAGTTGAGCCACTGGTGAGGACTGTCTGTGGAGTAGCCACCAGCTGCCACCTGCAGGGTCAGCTTGGACCTTGGTCTCTGCTCAAAGGATGCTACATGGGTAGGCATCTGGCCGTGTGCCTGTCGGATATACTCCCCGTCTCCTTGTCATGCCTTTGGGTCATGTCTTATGTTCTTAAGAGTATGGATCAGGCCCTCCTGGTGGCACAGCAGGTTAAAGCACAGCACTAAGAGGCTAAAGCCACTTAAGCACGAGTTCAATCTTCACCCTGGAGGTGACCACATGGCGTGGCAGACCTCTCCTGACCCTCCCACTGCTCCCCTCAGCAGTGTACTTCATTGATCTGCCTGCTGTGCTCCCCACTCTGTGTCTGGTGAATCCTTTTACCACCCCTGCACCTCTGGTCTGTACCCTAGTTCTGTATGCGTAAATAAAAGTAAAAAAAAAAAAATCAGATTCACCAACTGAGTCCACCCTTCAGTTGCTCAAGTCAAAAGAGTGTTGTTCCAACTCTGCCTCCCCCACCTAGTACCCACCAAATCCTCTAATAGTCCCATGATCTCCACTGCTCCACCTCAGGGCATCTTCCCTGAAGCGTCCTATACCAAGCACACCCCTTCTCTCCCTCAGTGTATTAGGGTCATCTCATGGGGTGACTCAGTCACTCTTGCCCCCTTCTCTTATGGTTTCATCATTCTACTCCCCTGCTTAAAAGCTTGGCATCAGCCCTCCCTGGTGGCGCAGCGGGTTAAAGCACAGCACTCAGAAGCTGAAACCACTTCCGCATGAGTTCGATTCCCGCCTGCCCTGGAGGTGACCACAAGGCGCGGCAGACCTCTCCTGACCCGCCCGCTGCTCCCCTCAGCAGTGTGCTTCGTCGCTGCCTGTTCTGCTCCCCACTCTGTCTCTGGTGAAGCCTCTCACCGCCCCTGAGCCTCTGGCCTGTACCCCAGTACAAATAAAAAAAAATTTTTAACAAAAAAAAAAAGCTTGGCAACACGATCAAATTAGGAAATGTCCAGAATTCTCAAAATGCCTTTTTCTCTCCTTCCCTCACATCATTATGCATCTCACATTTTACATTTTAGCAACAGCAGGCGTCTCTTTGCTCTCAAACTCTTCCTCCCTCCCTCCTCGTACCCCACCTGCAGCGCCCTGTCCTGAAGGCTATTCTCCCTCCTGTCCCCACCCCCGCACCACTCCTGAGGCACACACACTGTTTTCCCTGAGTTACGACCTCTCGTCCTCCCAGTCTCAGTCTAAATGCACAGTCTTCAGAGCACCTTCACTTACCTTCCATGCCAATTCGAGTCCCCTGCTTTATATGTTGGCTCAACACAGCTTCTTCATAGAACTTATGACAATATTTAGATAATGATAAAGTAAGCTGCTTAATGTCTATCCTTCTAATACTTTAAGGACAAGAATATCTTTGCTCACTTCTGCATCCCCAGTGCAGAAAATAGTGTCCATAAAACAAACACTTGTTGAATGAACGGCGGTGAGAAGGGGTCAGAGCGGGGGGAGACCCAAGGCCATCACACATGAAAACAGGCCCCGTTGCAGCGGCCTCCAGGAGGCAGAGCTTCCAGCCCAAACTCTTGCCAAGGGTCCTAGGTGTCCACCCCACGCCCACCCCCGTTCCCAGCATCTGCCCACTCACATTATCTGGGGACTGGAGCTGGCTTGGCAAGGCCGGGCTGCTGTTATAGCCGGAGGTGACGCCAGAGGAGAGGCTTCCGCTGGAGCTGGCGCACGCAGAGCTGGGAGTGGCCAGGGTGTGCAGCTTCTCCTCTTCCTGGGAAGGACAGAGCAGTGTCAGCCAGCGTCTGGAGCATCCTCACTGCCCCTGTCACCACCACCCTGGCAAGCTACCCCTTCTCACCTCCCATTTTCTCCCAGTGCCCTGCCTCAGCCTCACGCCTCCCCACCCCATACCCCAACTAAATACCAAAGCTGCCTCTTCCCAGACACTGGCCCAAGAACAGGAGCTGGCCGGATGGAGGTGACACGGGCTGAGACAGTGAGCACAGCTCTGAACTAGCACCAGAGTCCAGTCCCTCCCCCCAAGACTCGGAGGTAGCCCCCCAGTGAGCCAGCCCAGCCAGGACTGCCCCAGGCTCCAGGGCCATCCTCAGGCCAGGGGCTGGTCCCTCAGCCCACCCTCAGTAGCTGGGAGACGATCTGCTGGCGGATTCTCAGCTTCTCCTGTTCAGTCCGTTCCCGCAGGCGGGCCCTGGCCTGGGCAATCTCCACCTTGGCTTCCTCACGCGCCCGCTGGTAGTCTTGGAGCAGCAGTTCGATGTCAGAGGGCAGGTGAGAAGACCTTGATGCCAATCCTAGGCTCCTAGGGAAGACGGTGGG